ATTTAAGAGCTCCCTTTTTGCAGTATGTATGGCACATACCTGTTATCCCAGCATATGGAAGGCAGAGGTAGGTGAATCTCTGAGATTGAGGCTAGCCTGGTCTAGTGAGTTCCAGGTTAGCTAGGGCCATATAAAACACCCCTCACATAAACGCACATTGTGTGCAAACACACACACACACACTCTCATACTATCATCCCAAAGATGTCAGCAGAGGCACACTTGCCCTTGGCTGTCCTTAGCAGGGCAGTAGTCTTCTTGGAAGCAGTAGGGATTGACTGCATGGCTTGTGACAAGCAGAGCAGGACGAGAGTGCTCAGGTTTGGCCTTTTCTAGGGGTTTCAGTCTTTAAGCTTAATGCAGTAAGGGTTGTTACTCTGAGAATGTGCTAGCTGAGAGCACCTGAGAGGAGGTGGCCTGACGCTGCTCAGAAAGTATGGTACATCCCTCTGCATAGGTCACAGCATCATCATCAGATCATTGCACTTGCTGTGGCTGCTGCAGAGTGCTGTGTGGCATCCCAGGTGTCAGTTGTCCCTGGTTATGAGGATGAAAAAGGTCCTAGGCAGTGCTTGCTGCCTCCTGGAGGGTGGCATTCCTTCCTGCGTTGGACCCTACCAAATGGGAAGACTCGCTTGCCCACATCCCTTCTCCAGGAGCCTGGGACCCAGCAAGATCCAGAAATGGGCTTTATCCTTGAGTGCTATTCCTCAAACTTGGGTCTGGGTTTGTTTCTGTTGCCTACTTAGTGGATGCCCTGAAGGTCTCTGTTTCAGGAAACATACTGTGTCCTGGGAAACAGAGTGTGTAGTTCCAACAGTGTTTGTCTCCTAAGGCCAAACTGGGAGTCGGCAGACACAGGGTAGAAGAGTCTGCTTTGCCTAGAAACCCCAAGATTTTGCTGCTCAAAAGATTTTTTACCCCTATGCATGTTTGTGTGGAAGTGGGTGTGGATTGTTTGGCCGCCTTCTAGAAGGGACATTGAGCCACCTCCGTGGTGTTCTCACCTCGTGTGTTGGTTCTGATGATGTAGGAGAGAACACAGCTGAGTGGCTCGCTGCAGCACAGGCTTATCTGGGAGGCCTGTGGATACTGCTGGTGTCACAAAGCCTGGCTGAGAGCTGCTGTGCTGGGGAGGAGCAACACAGGGCACAACTGTTCTCCAGAGGACACAGACTAGAGCCTGACCACTCACCTTGCAGGGCGTGCCTAAGCACTTGCACTTGTACAAAATCTGCTTAGGACAATAGGTTAGAGGTTGAAATATCAGAAATGAAGTGTTGGTAAAAGACTTGAGTAGTCAACAAGTTTTTATCAGTGCCTGGTGCTACCAGATGAGAGCTAGAGGATGTTGTATGTGACTGCTTGTCCAATTCTAATGTACCCCAGAGTAGCATTATACCACCCCCTCCTGCAGTAACTCAGCAGAAAATGTTACTGAGTTTGCAGCTGCTTCTTTCTGATAAACATTAACAAGCCAGTGTGCTTTGCCAAAGGAAGACTAGAACTTTGTATAGGATCCAGTGGGGAGGTATACACTGTGTTGTCCTGGCTGGACTGGAGCTCACTATGTAGACCAGGATGGCAATGTTCCTGCTGCTGCTGCCTCCCAGGTACTAAGATTATACCATAAACTACCATGCCCATCAGTTTTTATTTTTTATCTTTGACTTTTGGGAAAAGCTCCTGAACTTTACAATGCTCCTGCCTCTCAGCCTCCTGAATGTCAGGCTTAATGGTATATACCGCCATGTCTGGCACACCATTGTTCCATCATGAATTATTGGACACCACTAGAGGTCGGGTGGCACATAAAATGCCTTGGATGTTGGAGTAGAAGATCCCCACAGCCCCCCCCCAAAGATACCCCTAGTTCTCCCTTGTGAAGCCCACGTACCTTCCCAGCCCCTGGAGTGATTCCACTGCCTTCCACACCCTGTTTTCCAGGGTGTTTTCTCTACGTCTGGGACTTGGCCTGTGCTAGATAAGCCTCTACCACTGAGCTACAGCCCCAGCCATGCTTTTCTCTCTTGTCCTCCCATAAGATGTTTGTCAAAATCTGAGACTGGAGAGATGGCTCAGCAGTTAAGAGCACTGGCTGTTCTTGCAGAAGACCTGGGTTCGAATCCCAGCACCCACATGGCAGCTAACAACTGTCTGTAACTCCAGTCCCAGGGGATCCAACAGCCTCTTCTGACCTCCACGGGCATTGCACGACACAGGTGCACTTACCTACATGCAGGCAATACACGCATAAATATATAAAATAAAAATAATAAATAAAATTTTTTAAAAAGTTTGTCAAAGTCTAACATTCAGAATATTTACATACAGGTTTAACCATTTTAAAACTGAGTTGCTGAAAACTTTTTTTTTTTTTTAACTAATTCTGAATCACCACATTTTCATTGAAACTTACCAAATCACAGTGCAAAGCGCTTGTCTAGCTCCAGCTACATGTTTTGGTGTCTGGGGCCCCATGAGGGAAGAACATCCATGTTCGCAGCTACACATAGCAGTGGCAGCAGCTTATCCCCAAGTCACGGCAACACTCTGGTCTCCTCTTTAACCTGCTTGCATCACTTGTTCTGGAAAAATACTAGACCAGCACTTCCCAGGCACAGATCCACTGTGGATTCTAGAATTTGCTAGTAGGAGATGTCTGACTTCAGAGAGTAGCAGTTACCCTGTAGCTGGAAGATCTTTTCATTCTGTGTTAGCTGGAACCTTCTAATTGGCTTATAGCCATTTGCTTCCTAGGCTCCACCACCAGTTAGTTTCTGGCGGCCTGCCGAGGGTGAACCGAGGCACAAAGAACACTGTCTTTTCCAGCCAGCGATCTGTGAGCTAGAAACCCTTCGCTCTGACAGTATTTTATCCAACCTCTATCCTCGTGGATAACAACACTGTGTTCCCCATGAAAAGGGAGGCGGTGCTATGTCGTGGGCCACCAGCCTTGAGTACATCATGAGGCCAGACCACACATGTCTCCTAAGGAGGAGCGTTTTTTGATATTATTTAATTTGACTTAATGTATTCCTAAAATTTTGTTTGCAGATGACAGACTCTTCTAGAGTAAACCTAGAAGAAATGAACATTAGTTAGCTTAAGACTCAAATATTGGAGCCAGGGAGATGGCTCGCTGGGTAAAAGTGAAAGCCTGACAACCTGAGCTGGATCTCTGGAGCCCACATAAAAAGCCAGGCGCAGTGGTATGTTTCTCTGATCCCAGCACTTGTGTCATCGGGTGGAGACAGAACCACCCAGAAGCTCTAGCCTGGTGTGCAGCCCAGCAGTAGAAACAAGAACCCTCCTCAAACAAAGTGGAAAGGGGGAACAAACTCTGAAAAGTTGTCCTCAGACCTCCACATGCACCGTGTGGTACACACATGTCCACACTCTCCTGGACATACACATTAAATAAATATTTAGAATATGGTCAGTTTACTTGATTACACCAATAATTAGTTACAAAATGTAATTTAAGGGGCTGGAGAGATGGTTCTGCAGTTAAGAGCTCTGGCTGCTCTTGCAGAGGACCCGGGTTTGATTCCCAGCACCCACATGGCGGCTACAAACCATCCACCAGTTCAGAGGATCCAGCACCCTCTTCTGACCTCTGTCGGCATTGCAAGACACGGGTGCACTTACATGCAGGCAATGCACTCACACATACAAAATAAAAAATAAGTGTCATTTTAAAGTGTCATTTATCACAGTAAAGTAGACGGTGTGCAGGGTGTATAGAAGTCGACTGTGAAGTAGGCAGGACCTCCATGCGGAAAGCTGGAAGGGTTTTTAAGTCGGAGGCGTAGGGGACTTGGTGCCAGCTCTCCCAGAGTTGCTCTTACTGTTAAGCAGAACTCCAGTCACAGCTCAGCAGCTCTTACAGAGCCGCGTGGTAGGGTTCAGGGAGGACAGTGAAGGGCCAAGGTGAACGGCAGCACTCCTGAAGAAGGGCAACGCCCTGCTGCATGAAAACTGCGACATTGAGCACCATCAGGGCCTGGTCCCATGCTTCCCAGAATTCTTCCTATTGAGAGAAGCGCAGACTGCTTGAGAAGTGGTCCGTGCCAGGGCAGGAGTCTGGACCATGTAGGTAGAAGGAAAGAAGTGCCTCTGGCTAGAGCCATGTAGGGAGGGTGCCAGAGCACACCAGAAGGACATGCCTGCTGGATAGCTTTGAGATAGGTATGACTTAAATGAGTGATGACAGGAGTGGCTGTAACATTGCAGAGGAGGTGAGAGGTAGCAATGGGGCTAGAAGGTTTAAGAATGGCTGACACTCGCTGAGCTGCTCACTGCTGTGTGGGTGCGGACTTCATTTGGCAGTGTTGCCCTCTGCAGGAAGCTTTCACAAGGTGATGGGGAGTGGTGGGGATGGAGAACCACTTGTGTGGACAGTGCGCTAACGTAGTTTTCCTTCTTGATTCTTGGGCCCAGCTTCATTGACTTTGAGTCTGGGTTCTCAGCTGCCTTGGCTGCGCTTGCCCTTCAGGGGCTCCACTGGCGACTTGAACCACGTTGCTCCACAGTGCACCAAGACTCCTGCTCTGCTGCGGTAGTTTCTGCTGCTGTTTTTTGAAGTTCATCACCAGCTGCCCTGGCATTTGCTACGTAGACCAGGCTGGCCTCAATCTTACAGAGATTTTCCTGCCTCTGCCTCCCAAGTGCTGGGACTAAAGGCGTGCACCACCATGCCCAGCAGGTTTTTCAACCTATAGATGTTAGAGATGTGTGTGTGCGCATACATTCACATATTTCTCATTCCTTTAACTTTTTTGGCATGGAATTCAGTTATCTGTCACATTTTTTTCTTTTTGCAATGCCTGGGATTGAGCTGAGTCCTCACATGCTGGGCAAGTACTTATCTGCATCCCTAGCACCCAGTGTTCCAGTGAGCTTCCCAGGCTGGCCTTGAACTCCCTATGTAGCCCTGACAGGCCTTGAACTTGTGATTGATCCTCTTGCCTCACCCTCCTGAGTGGCTAGGATTGCAGTCTCTCAGCAGATTTGGTTAGCACTCTCAACACCTTTCTCTCTACCAACTCTAATTTGTGGGTCAGTTTCTGTTAGTCCGCATCTCCATGCCACACTGTGGGCTTTTTTTGTTTTGTTTTGTTTTTCTGCCTTGGCAAGCATGATGGCATGTCCCTATAGTCCCAACACTTGACAGGTGGTGGCAGAAGGCTCTAGAGCTCCAGCCTAGACTGGGGGACATGGAGAGACCTCATCTCAAACACAGCAAGAGACACTGAAAGCGTTACTCACTGAGGAAAAGTCTGATGCACTTTGTTAAAATTAAGCATCTCCTTATATCAAGAAACTAAAAGATGAATATCTCATTAACTAAGAGAAGATGTTTAGTCACAAAACCAATTAGTAGAACTAAAAAAATAAATAGGGGCTGTAGAAATGGCTCAGCAGTTACGAGCACTGACTGCTGTTACAGAGGACCCAGTTTTGAATCCCAGCAACCCAACATGGTGGTTAACAACTGTCTGTAACTCCAGTTCCAGAGAGTCTGACGCCATTTTCTGACCTCATGGGCATTGCACGACACAGATGCACTTACATGCATGCATAACGCTTTATACACAAAAGTAAAAATAATAAATACAATTTATTTTAATTTTTTTTGGTCTTTTTGAGACAGGGTCTCCCTGTAGCCCCAGCTGGCCTGGAACTCACAGAGATACACCTGCCTCAGCCTCCTGAGTGCTGGGATGAAAGGTGTGGGCCACCATACCTGGCCTTAACTTTTTTTTTTTTTTTTTTTTTTCCAAGCCCTTTCAAAACCTAACAGAGGCTAGAGAAATGACTGAGCGGTTAAGACCATGCTGGCTGCTCTTCCAGAAGCTGGGCTCAGCTCCAGCACCCACATGTTGGCTAACAACTCTGGTTCTAGGGGAGTTAACACCCTTTTCTGGCAGATATTGCATGACATGGGTGCACTTACATATATGCATACACATAAAAAAGAGAAAGAAAAAAGTTTTTTTTTTTTTAAGTCATTTTGAGATAGGGTCTCCCTGTAGCCCGAGCTAACGTGGAACTTACTGTGTAGACCAAGCAGGCCTTGAACTCACAGAGATCTGCCTACCTCTGCCTCCCACGTGCTGGGACTAAAGCACCACCATTACCCTTGATATTTTTTTATCTTTATTTATTTATTTATTTATTTTGTCTTTTTGAGACAAGGTCTCCCTGTAGCCCCAGCTGGCCTGGAACTCACTATGTAGACCAGGCTGGCCTCAAACTCACAAAGATCCACCTGGCTCGAAAATAATTTTCAAAAAAAAAATTCCCCAGAACTGGAGTTAAGGATGGTAGTTAGCCACCATGTGGGTACCAGGAATCGAACCCGGGTTCTCTGCAAGAGCAGTCAGTGCTCTTAGTCACTGAGCCATCTCTCCAGCTCAAAAAAAAAATTTTTTTTTTTTTGAGGCAGGGTCTCCCTGTAGCTCCAGCTGGCCTAGAACTCACAAAGATCTGCCTGGCTTGAAAATAATTTTTTTTAAAAAAATTCCCCGGAACTGGAGTTAAAAATGGTAGTTAGCCACCATGTGGGTACCAGGAATCGAACCCGGGTCTTCTGCAAGAGCAGTCAGTGCTCTTAATCACTGAGCCATCTCCAGCCCCTCAAAAAAAAATTTTTTTTTTTTTTTTTTTGGTCTTTTTGAGATGGTCTCCCTGTAGCCCCAGCTGTCCTGGAACTCACTATGTAGACCAGAGTGGCCTCAAACTCAGATCTGCCTGTCTCTGCCTCCCAAGTGCTGGGATTAAAGGTGTGTGCCACCATGACCAGCTTATTTAAAGCGATTTTTTTTTAATGAGAAAATCTCCCTCTGAACATCAAAACTCAAAATGAGGCTCCACTAAAAGCCAGTCTTGCCATGGAAGGACTAAGGGCCTTGGGCTCCTGACACAGTTGTAAGTGGAACATGTGTGCAATAAAGCCAGTGCCTGTGTGTGTGAGCTCATCACACGACATGCTGTGACTAATAGGAGAGCACAGGGACAGTGAGCCTGGGGGGCTTCTGGAAGCTGCTCTCTTCAATGCTTGACTCTGACCTGAGCAGGACAAAGACCTCAGCGTCTCTGAAGGTCTCATTGTGACTGTCGTCTGCCACTGCTGGCCTTTCACTTGTGTTTCAGAAGTCAGCGGAATGTGTGTGTCAGTGTTAATCGTCTTCAGCTCTGATGTCTGGATGGCATCCTTCAATTCTTGCCTTCATTTGAGGTTCTGGATTGTTGGGTTTTGTTGGTGGTGGTGTCTTTGAGTCAGGGCCTCAGTATATAGACCAGGCTGTCCCAGAACTCCTGACCATGTACTCTCTGCTTCACAAGTGCTGGGAGGGCAGGCGTGCGCCAACTTGAGTTGTTTCTTCTGTCTTCTCTATTCTCACTTCCACCGATGGGTGTGTTCAATCTTTTATCATTTTTATTTTATGTGTATGAGTGTTTTGCCTGCTTGTATGTATGTGTACTGTGTGTGTACAATGCCCATTGATACCAGAGGAGGACGTTTGATCCCCCGGAACCAGAGTTACAGACAGTTGTCAGCCTCCATGTGAGTGCTGGTAACTGAACCCAGGTACTCTGCAAGAGCAGCCAGTGCTCTTAACCTCTGAGCTGTCTCTCCAGCCCCAGTGGGTATGTTGGAAGCCTCATTTTACTGTGTGAGTCTCCCAAGAGGTTTTCATAGCATATGATTTATCTCATCAGTGTCAGAGAAAATAAAAACAACTTTCTTTCCTCCTCAATCCATGGCAGCTGACTTTCTCTTCTGTTTCTCAGCCTTACAGTCCAGTCTTTGACCCATGCATTGTGGTTTCCAACGGGCTCCAGTGGTCCTGTCTTATCTCAAATGCTTTCTCTTTCCCTAGATGCTGGTATCATGAAATCAGCTCTCTGATCTCACTTGCTGCTGCTGCTGCTTGTTTGACTCTTGTCAGAGTGCCTTTTGCTTTACTGTATGTGGCCTAATCACAACTGAGGGTACTTGAGGGCAGGCGTTGCTAGTATCTTCTGAGAACCTTGAATGAAAATTCTCTCTCCCAAAACACAGTTTGGTTAGTTGGTTTGTCTGTCTCTCTTTCTCTTTCTCTCTCCATCTCCATCCATCCACTAGATACCTGTCAACATTGAGTGAGGGGGGAGCCACTGCAATGGCTTGGACTTGAAGTGCTGTGTTTGGTTTCTCTTCCAGTGGGCATCCCTACCATCAGGTGGTGTGGGGCGGAGGGGGACTACAATGTCATGGTGATGGAGCTACTGGGACCGAGCCTGGAAGACCTCTTCAACTTCTGCTCAAGAAAGTTTAGTCTCAAAACTGTTCTATTGCTTGCTGACCAAATGGTAAGCCCCCTTTTCCTAAAGAGCCTGGGCAGCTGTGGGCAGTCAGCATGTGCTTGCTCCTGATAGGTTAATTACTGGATTACTATTTCTCCATTAGTATGCCCTGTGCACCAGAGAAAGGAGATTTGCTTGACCTTGGCCTCAAGATAATAACGCAAGTGATTGGCTTGAAGGCCCACTCTCAGCATCTCAAGTGTGTTCACACTGAAGGGATATTCCAGTTTTCTCAGGGATCCCTCATTTGATTCCTAGCAACTCTTAGTGGTTTCCAAGCAAATTCTTTCTTACTGTCGACGCACAGAGAGCTAAAGATACCTTGGGAGATGACTTCTGGTCTGTCAGTATTCACCCTAAAACTTTGCGATCACTCAGCCCTGGCCAGATTGCAGTGTGTGTGCAATATGGGCTTTGTGCCTCCTTTTCCAGTGGACTGTAATGGGGTTCTCTCACCTTTTCTCCTCCGCTTACAGATTAGTCGTATTGAGTACATTCACTCAAAGAATTTCATCCACCGAGATGTGAAGCCAGATAACTTCCTCATGGGACTAGGGAAGAAAGGCAACCTGGTCTACATCATTGACTTTGGGCTGGCCAAGAAGTACCGGGACGCCCGCACCCACCAGCACATCCCTTACCGAGAGAACAAGAACCTCACGGGGACAGCTCGCTATGCCTCCATCAACACACACCTCGGCATTGGTGAGCCCTGGCTGCAGGATCACTGACCTAGGGTACCTTTGGCATGTCCATCCCTGAGCTTAGGGAGGGCCTGCTTCTCTGGTGGCCTAGGGTTATGAGCCAGTTTGGTACTGAGAGGCCTGGAAGCTGTCAGCAACCTTTATAACAGACAAGCAGATTTCAGCCACTGCTGGAGCCTTGCATAGCAGGTGTGGTGGGGCAGGCAGAAGCTGGCTTCTCCAGCAATTGCCTAAGACGGTTGGTGTTGCTGACCTGGGGTGTGGGGTGTTTCTTCACCATTGTGTGAGGGCAACTTCTAGTGAAGGAGCCATCAAAGTATATTTTTCTGTTATTAAAGTTTATTTCCATTACTGTTTGCCAGGTGTTGCTTTTACACACCACACACACACACACACACACACACACACACACACACACACACACGCCGTCCTTGACACAGTTCCCTTTTCTTTCCAGAACAATCTCGAAGGGATGACTTGGAGTCTCTGGGGTACGTGCTGATGTACTTCAACCTGGGCTCTCTCCCCTGGCAGGGGCTGAAAGCCGCCACCAAGAGGCAGAAATATGAGCGGATCAGTGAGAAGAAGATGTCCACGCCCATTGAAGTGCTGTGCAAGGGCTATCCCTGTGAGTCCTCACGCCCTTGCTGCACAGCTTCCTGCGACATGCCTTTGGCCACCTGTGTTAACCAGTGTTAACCAGACACACCTGTGGAGGTGGCAGTTAGCTGTCTATTGTCCTGGTGCTTTCTTGAGAGCTTTTGTCTAGAAGGCACTCTGAGGCCCAGGAAAGACGGGAATGAGGCAAGACTGACCCTCAGGAAATGACCCACACAGCTAGGAAGGGGAAGATGCTGGGAGCCCTACCTACTCTTTAAATTGACTGCTCCTCGCCCTCTCCTCAGCCTCCCGGAGCCATTTCCCTGTGAGTTTCCTGTTTCGTGGGAGTGCTCCTGGGATAAATTCCCTACATAAATAAATTGTGTTTTTGAGTGTTGACCTGTGGGGGTAGGGGTAGTGTTGGGGATGAAACCCAAGGCCTCACACATGCTAAGTAAGCACTTTACCACTGAGCTATACCCCCAGGCCCTAGATCTTTGAATTTTTTCATTTTTCTAGTGCTTAGGTTATTTTGTTTCTGGTTTTTGAGACAGGCTCTTGCTGTGTAGCAATGACTGGCCTAGAACTCAAAATTCACCGAGATCTGCCTGCCTCTGCCTCCCTGTTTCTGGGATTAAAGAGGTGTGCCCAGCCTCTAAATTCTTGAATCTCGTCCTCCGTGCCTTTGGTATGTGGCACTGTGGGCGGTGTATTGAGTGTGAATAGACCAAGTCTGGGCCACAGTTGGGAATGCCTAGCTAGCTTTGAGTTTCTTTGTTTTGCAGCTGAATTTGCCACATACCTGAATTTCTGCCGTTCTTTGCGTTTTGATGACAAACCTGACTACTCGTACCTGAGACAGCTCTTCAGAAATCTGTTCCATCGCCAGGGCTTCTCCTACGACTATGTGTTCGACTGGAACATGCTCAAGTTTGTAAGTGGGATTGCCAGAGCATGGGATGGCAACAGCCTGGTCCTCAGGTGGCCGGCACTGATAGCTGGGTTGGGTCTCATAAGCAGATCTATGCTGGAATGCAGATCTGTTATGGAGTACAGTTGCTGAGTTGTGAAAGCCAAGCACACCCAGTAGAACCTGGACCTAGGAACCACGTTGCCTGTGGGCTTGGTACAGAGGAAGATGATGTGGGGTGAAGGGGAAACTCTAGCATTTGTGGCTGTACATAGTGGGAGGTCCAGTGAGCCACAGTATAGGTCTGTCTGCCCACTGCCAGCCCCAGGACTGCCTGCAGGCCTCCTTTCTCCCTCCCTCTTTCCTTGACTTTTAGGGATTAATGCCACTTTGGAGGGAATTTAGTTTTTTGGGTTTTTTAAATATATTTTATTTACTGTTTTTATTTTATGTGTATATGTGTATTGCCTACATATAGGTAAATGCACCTGTGTCGTGCAATGGTGGCAGAAGACAGAAGAGACTGTCGGATCCCCTAGGACTGGAGTTATGGACAGTTGTTAACTGCCATGTGGGTGCTGGGATTCGAACCAAGGAATGATGGGTGTTCTTAGCAGCTGAGCTGTCTCTCCAGCCTGGGAATTTAGTTTTTGAAATAGAGTCTTGTTGTCTGGGCTAGTCTTGAACTCTTGGACTCAAGCTTTCTTACTGCCTCAGCCTTTCAAGTGCCATAACCATGGCTGCCCCTGTGCCCAGTGTGAATGGTTATTCTGTTATGATTACTGTCACCAGTTCTAAGAGCTTTGTGGGGGCTAGAGAGATGCTCGGAGGTTAAGAGCACGGGCTGCTCTTGCAGAGGACTGGGTTTGGTTCCCAGCAACCACATGGTGCCTAAAAATCTTTCTGTAACTCCAGTTCCAGAAGTAGTAGGGTAGTCTTAACACCCTCTTCTGTCCTCTGAGGGTATTGTACACACAGGTGCACTTGTATACATGCAGGCAAAACATTCATACGTATAAAATAAGAATATATCAGTGGGCATGGTGGCGCGTGCCTTTAATCCCAGCCCTCTGGAGGCAGAGGCAAGCAGATCTCTTTGAGATCAGGCCAGCTGGGGCTACAGGGAGACCCTGTCTTAAAAACCCAAATAAAACAGCAAAAAGGAAGAGTTTTGTGGATTCAGCTTCCTGTGATGGTGTGACGTGATGAGCCTGGCACACTGGGGACCTGGTGATCTTTCTGAGTCCTGCTCTTCCCTGTCACCCAGCCCCACCCAGCTCAGGGGCCTCAGGAGAGCTTATGCAATAAAGAGTTTGATCTATAATCATTCCGACACCACTGCCAGAAGCCAAGGCTCTGTGGCGGTTTTGTGTCTGTTTTCATTAAAAATTCATTCTTTGGGCCAAACATGGTTGTACATCCTTGTTATTCAAGCACTTGGGAGGCTGATTGTGAGTTTGAAGCCAGCCTTGGGTAAGACCCATCTCAGACAATAAAGAACCATTCTTTGTAGTGTGTTCAGACATTGGAACCTTTCGAGGTGGTGCATGTTCTGATGGGAGCAGCAGCAGAACTGTGTCCTCTAGTCCACACCAGGAGCCTTGTTATCTGCGCTCTGTGCCCGGCCTGCCTGGACCTCATGCTGTTCTTTGTGTAAAGAGACTGGCCAGAGCTGGAAGGAGAACACTCTGCGGGGTGGGCTGGCTCAGGAGAGGCCCAGTCCTGCCCGGATGGGGTTTAAAGAGACAGCTGTGCTGTTTTGGAGGCGATCCAGCGTTAGCTGCACTGCCTTCCCCTAGCATTGTTCTAGCACTTCTGACACTCCCCAGGCCTTGTAGAGGCTCTGTAGAATTGTTCTGAAAAGGACCAAATAGTGCATGCGGTCAGGTCTCAGGGTTGCCTGGGGCTATGATTCTTAGCTCTTCCATGGAGCTTAACAGCAGTCACAGGCCACTTGTAAATTGACATGACTGAGTCTAGTAAAGCAGGTGACATGGGGAGATGCCCATGGCTGCAGACCCCTGGTGACCACATCACTGATGACCTGCATCTCTGATTAGAAGGCAGCTGACTCTGACTTATAGTCGGCAGAAACCTGACTCATCCTTACTGTTGACCTGTATGTGGTGTGGCTGGCATCACTATGGCACAGAGTTGCTGTTGGCCCCGGGGTCTGGACTCTGATTGGTCCCTTCTGACCCATTGATGAGGCCCCTACTGTGCACTGCTCTGTGTCTCTGGCCTGGTCTCTCCTTTTCTTACTGGACATACTAGCATATCAACATTTATAGGGAGAGAATTAAGAGTTACAGATTGTCCCCAGTACTGGGGAAGCAGAGGCAGGCAGATAGAGCTCTGCTAATTTCAGGAAGCCTGGTCTATGTAATGAGTTCTAGGACAGCCAGGGTTACATAGTGAGACACTGTCTTTAAAGAAAAAAAGGAAAGGAAAAGAAAAGGAGATTGTGCATGGGGCATCCCTCCAGTGTAGTGGGGTCTGAAGAGGGGCTCTGACCTCCATGGGTGTTATACAGGAACTGACTTCACTGTTGATGTAGGTGGTTTTAAAAGCAGTCTGGGGGCTGGAGAGATGGCTCAGCGATTAAGAGCACTGACTGCTCTTGCAGAGGACCTGGATTTGATTCCCAGCACACACACATGGTGGCTACGAACCATCCTTAACTCCAGCTCCAGGGGAATCTGAAGCCCTCTTCTGACCTCTGCGGCATTGCACTACATGGGTGCACTCACATACGTGCAGGCAATACACAATATACACAAAATAATAAAATATTTTTTAAAAAAAGCAGTCTGTTCCACGTATTCTTTGAGGTTTTTTCAAGGTGCCAGGGATCAGCCAAGAGCCTTGACAGGTGTGTGTATACTTTAACCTAGGCCACTTCTAGCTGTTCTAATCCTCTTTCCTCCCCAGGGTGCCAGCCGGGCAGCAGATGATGCTGAACGGGAACGCCGGGACCGAGAGGAGCGGTTAAGACACTCACGGAATCCAGCTACCCGGGGCCTCCCTTCCACAGCCTCTGGCCGTCTGCGGGGAGCCCAGGAAGTGGCTCCCCCCACGCCCCTCACCCCTACCTCACACACGGGTGAGCACACCTTCCAGCATGCCCTTGGAGTGGGTACTGGGGCTTCTGTTTCACATTTTGATGGCTGTGTGGCCACACAAGGATCTTGAGCCAGACTCAGTTGAGGATTGTATCCCCATGTCAGTCTGTATTCCTAAGAATAGGTAGGTCTAAGACAGCCCACAATGGCACCTTTAGAATTGTCCTTCTCACAAGATTTGGTCTAAAGATTGAGGTCTCTGAAATTGTTTCTATTTTAGTAGTTTCCTATATATGAAGTTTTATTCTTTTTTTTGAGACAGGGTCTCCCTGTAGCCCCAGCTGGCCTGGATTCGCTGTGGAGACCAGGCTGGCCTCGAACTTAGAGATCCTCCTGTAAAGTTATTCTTGAACACATTTTCTCATGAACTTTTAAATACTCAATGCTGAGTGCCCTACGTGCCATTAGATCTTGGGGCCTTGGAATGTGTGCCCATTGGCAGCATGTGCTCTTGGGCTTCTGGACACTTGAGTTGGCTGTGTATTTGGATGTTGCTAGAGAAAAACCCAGGACCTCACCTGTGCTGGGCAGGGCTCAGCCACACTCGAACCCAGGACCTCACCTGTGCTGGGCAGGGCTCAGCCTCCCTCGAACCCCAGACCTCACCCATACTGGGCAGGGCTCAGCCATCCTCAAACCCTGAGCTAGTTAATAGATGTAGGTTCTCACCCCAGAGGGCCTACCTAGAGCCTGTGTCCTCAGCTGTGCTGCAGGCTGGTGAGGTGTTAACAGAGCCAAGAGTACTCGGTAGACATGACTTCTCTTCATCTCCTCCAGCCAACACCTCTCCTCGGCCTGTCTCTGGCATGGAACGAGAGCGGAAAGTGAGTATGCGGCTGCATCGGGGGGCCCCGGTCAACGTCTCCTCATCTGATCTCACAGGCCGACAAGATACCTCTCGCATGTCCACCTCACAGGTATGTACTTGAATTCGCTGAAACCAGGATGTGCCAGGTCCAGGCATGGGGGTGCTTTTCAGTGTCAGTATGTGCAGGCATTGGGTTTCTGCCTTACCTTCTTTGAACTGACTTTACAGGTTTATAGTTGGAAATGGGCGACATTTGTGAAGAATGTACTCCTTCCCTTCTCTTCCTCTCATTTTGAGACTGTCTAACCTGTATTGGTTGGTGGGAGGGAGTTATGTTTCTGTTTCTGTTTTGCTTCTTGGTTGGCGCCTAAGACTAGCTGGGGCTGTAATGGGCTCTGAATTGTGTGTGCAACCTTTTCTCTTCTGCTTGGGTTTCGAAGGGACATCCCTGCCCCTTGTCACCTTCCCCACCAGGCTGGACACCACATGCTTGCTCATACATATTGTTAGGGAGAGGTCTGCTCACCCAACCTTTAGGATTTGGTTTGCTGGCCAGGAGCCCCTAGCAAAGCACCATCAGAATGGTCCCCGTGAGCAATCCTGGTCTGCCTGCTGTGGCCAAGGATAGAGGCCCATAGGAACTTCCCACAGGCTCTGGGTGGTGGTATGCCAAGCTTCAAGGTGCCTGTCTTCTTAGGCCGTGTCTCTAATGAGGGAGGTCCTCAGGGAAGGCGTGGTAGCCTGAACCAGCTTCCAGGCTTCTTCCTCATAGCTTTCCCCTCATCCAAGTGCACAGCCTCCCTCCTCTGCTTTTGCTGCAGTTCTCATTAAACACTTCTTCAGTCACCAGAAGAATACCTTCTCACACATGTTGGCTGCTTTTCATAGTTGTCCATCCCCCCACCCCCTCAAAGTGAGCACCGGTGATAAGATCCAGGGAACTCTTAGAAGCCAGCACCACATACAATCCATCAATCTCGATCTTTCTCTCTCTCTCTCTCACTCTCACTCTCTCACTCATTCACTCACAACACACCCAGGATCTTGTTTCAGAGGCACACTGACAGCCCTGTGGGGCTTGGTTGTTCAGCAGCATCTGTGGCTCACAGTGGTACCTGAATGTAGCATTCAAATGCCAGGAGCTGTGTGAGATCCCTGGGGCCACACAGCGTTCTGATCTGGTGACAGTTTGTACTACAGAAACTGGTGTTCTTGCAATTCAGTAGCTAGGTGAATGTTCTCATTTGCCAGAAATTGACAGACTTTTTATGATAATTTTCTCCCAGAGAGACTACAGATACATAGAGTTTCACTAGGGGCTCTTGAGAAGTTTCCACATCATTGTGAGATTGAGTCTGTTGGTATATATACTCTTAAGCTCTGCCTCCCTCACAGTGGACTTGAGTTTCTACATCAGGGAGTGGGCCCTGACTGGGTTTAGGCGTCCTCATGCTTGCAGCGGGGCAGAGACTGAGGAACAGTCAGGCTTCCTTTTTTCAAAAAACCAAGAAAAAAAAGCATCTGGTAGTTTAGGGTCCACTGTGGATACCAAGAAGACACGGGTTGCAGTCCGACTTCCTCTTGGCTGGGTTGCCAAGGATGCAGCTCCCTTGGCACAAGGTAGCAGAGAATATTCTTCGCACATGGTGAGCGTGGGCCTCAGAATTAGTCTCTACTTGTGTGGCCTCCTGTTTCTGCGTGGAGAATGGCACCAGACTTGAGCATGGTTGGGAGGCTCCTCCTTGGGGTTCTGTAGCTTTTCCTTGGGTTGTGTTGGGGATTTTAGCATCAGTTGCCCTTGTCCAACTCTGGTGACACTAGGACATGGTGCAAGGTCGTTGGGGTGCTACATTCTTTAATGCAGGACCTTATCCTCACCCAGGCTTTGCCCACAAACAGCTGCTTCCTCCTTAGCAAGCATCATTCCCTTTTCTGAAGGGCACTTGCATTAGGTTTGTCCCCTGCGGAGACCATGATCCCACATTTTCCCATCTCTGAATTAGTTCTCATTAGCCAAAAAGATACAGGCCTACAGGGCATCTGGTCAGCAGGTCTCTGTTTTGTTTTGTTTTTTCTTTGTGAGAGGAAAGGTCTCTTCTCTGTACTGTTGGCATGCCCGTTACTCCTTTTGATGGATTGTTTAACTGACATCCTGCTCCAAATTAAGATCTGCAGCCTGGTGCTCTTGTGTGTGTCCTGGGGGGTGCCATGTCCTGCACTTGCTACATGGTGTTACAAGACTGATTTGTATGGTTGGTGAGCCCCGCCGTCCACTGACTATAGCCTGTTGAAAACATGAAGTTAGAAGGGTCTGTCTATGTCATCATCCATTCTGGTGGCTACTTCATTGAGGACTAGTCATGAGAGGTAGATGAGTTCGTGCACTGTGTGGAGAGACTGGCCAATCCCTGGGATCCCTGAAGTGATGCTTGTTGATGTCTTGATCTGGTCAAGGCAAGAGGCACATCTAGATGCAGGCCCAACATGCGCAGTCAGGGGACCGGGCTTCATGTGCGGTTCAAGCCAGCAGTACACTTACCAACAGCTGTCTTTTCCCCACCTCAGAATAGCATTCCTTTCGAACACCACGGCAAGTAGCCGCTCGTCTCCATCGGAAGGCAGTGCCGGGTGAGTGCTCAAGGTGGGGCTTGGCAGGTGCCAGGTGGGGTGGGAGCCACCACTCCCCACCCGCCATCAGGGCTCCCTGGTGGGCTGGGCTTGCATGCCAGGCGCTGGAGTAGAGTGAGGCTTCTTCTGCTTGTTCTTTTCTGTGTGTGGGGTCTGGAGTAGCTGTGGTGAGCTGCCCAGTCTGGGAGCCTAGTGGCATCCTCAGAGTCTCTGAATTGGGAGCAGCTTTAGGTGACCATCCTGCTGTAGCTTTGTCCTCCGGCCTCCCTGTGGCTGCATTCAGTATGCTGACACTGCCCTCAGGCCTGGCTCTGGGCGGGTGTGCTGGGACGTGTGTCTGTTGTGCTCAGCTGAGCGGTGCCATGCTTTGTATTGGGCTCTTGAGCTCTTGCTGCGTTCAGACTCCTGGTGGTCTTTGCCCATCCTGGCTTTTCAGTCACCCCTCTTCCTCATTTACCCCTGTCCTCATTTTGTGTTTCTTTCCAAACTTGGTACCTGCCCAGCCATCTTGTCCATGCAGCTGTCGTTTGTATTAACCCAGCCACAGCCACCTGCTCCCCTGCCGTCGGTGCATGGCTGGTGTCCACGCTGCAGTCCTTTATCGTTGGCCACGTGGCACTCGATGGACCTTCCATGAGGGGCTTGAGCTTCAAGTTGGGGGTTGTGTCACTAGAACATCTGCTGTATTTAACGTTATGTATGCTCTTTAGAAATGTGTTGGCAAGAACTGCCCTTCCCATCTTCCTAAGGGGAACACCGTTTCAGAGCACCAAGTTCTTTCCAGGAAGGGAAACTGGGAGCAGGCATCACCGCCACTCGGATCCTCAGGAGCACAGCGCTCAGTCTCCTTGCTTGCATGCCTCTTCTTCCCCGTCTTCCTGTCCCTTGTTCTGCCTGGTACCTGTCCTGGCCTTTCTGTGTTGCCAGGGGTGGAGGTGCTTAGATTGAAGCCAGGTGGCAGTGTGTCCCTTCCGTCCCAGGCTCTGTTGTGTTACATTGCCCAAGCGCCTGGCCATACCGTTCCTTTGGCCTCATGCTGACCTTGTCCTGTGCTTTGGCTCCGACAGATTCCCGGTCGGGTGGCTTCCAGTGGTCTTCAGTCTGTCGTGCACCGATGAGAACTCTCCTTTTTGCTGTGAAGGGCAGACAATGCATGGCTGATCTACTCTGTTACCAATGGCTTTACTAGTGACACGCCCCCCGGTCTAGACCCAAAATGTTAATGCCGGGAGCTCTCCAAGCCACTCACCCAGCGATGCTCGTGGGGAATCAAAACACAAACTAAATGGACAGGCTCCAAGAGCTGCCGTCACCAGGGGTTGCCACTGTGGCCCACGTGAGCCCTGGTATCATGGGGCTGGGAAGAAGAGCAGAAGCTGGGAGACCATTGCAGAAAGAACCACCTCCCTGTGAAGAGCCTCTCAGCTCCCACCAGTGGTGGCGGACCTGCGCTCCCTGATCCCACCGCAGCTGCCAGTCTTCAACTTGGTTAAGACAGTTTTGTATCATTTTGCTAAAAATTACTGGCTTAAATCTGTGTGAAGAATCTGTCTTTTTATTGTTTCTTGTCTGTTTTCGCGGTCTTAAAAAATACCTTAAAGAACCCTAAGACGTGCTAGTTTGGAGCTTCTGTATAAAGTGGAGGCAGGCAAGAAAGGGGCACATGTGCGTGTCAAGGATGTGTGTGTTGTTTCTCGTGTTGTGCTGTTCACTGTGGAGAGGACATTCTCATCAGAAGTTTGTGTGTGTGTTTCTGTCTTGTGTGTCTCGTGGGCCCCTGTCAGCCTGGTTTGGACATGTTGCTTTTCCTTCCCCACTATAAACTGAAATGCCTGCAAAATTCAGAGCGGATAGACGGCAGCAGCTACCCCGGAGCAAGAATGTGGCGGTGTGTCCCCAGCAGAGCGCTGTGGCGATCTTGTCTGTTTTCGCGGTCTTAAAAAATACCTTAAAGAACCCTAAGACGTGCTAGTTTGGAGCTTCTGTATAAAGTGGAGGCAGGCAAGAAAGGGGCACATGTGCGTGTCAAGGATGTGTGTGTTGTTTCTCGTGTTGTGCTGTTCACTGTGGAGAGGACATTCTCATCAGAAGTTTGTGTGTGTGTTTCTGTCTTGTGTGTCTCGTGGGCCCCTGTCAGCCTGGTTTGGACATGTTGCTTTTCCTTCCCCACTATAAACTGAAATGCCTGCAAAATTCAGAGCGGATAGACGGCAGCAGCTACCCCGGAGCAAGAATGTGGCGGTGTGTCCCCAGCAGAGCGCTGTGGCGATCTTCCCAAAGGAGGCAAGGAGGAAGTGGAAGGACTCTCACTGGCAGAGGCCTTGAGAACTCCATAGGATGCTGGAGAGTTCAAGATTCAAAGCTGTGCTTATGTTTCTGGTTTCTAGGGAAACGATTGTAAGACGACGTCCGGGTTGCCATGGGGGCTGTGTCTGGCTGTTGTGGTAGTTGGTTACCTCTTTGCCTTTGAATTGGGGAGTTGTCGCACAGACTGAGTACCGTGCGGATGCCACTTGAGTTTGAGCCTCTGCTCAGGCAGGGAGCAGGCTGTCCTCAACACCGTGCTTTCACCCAGAGGGACTGGTGGCTGAAGGGAAGAGACCCTGAAGTGCCAAGAAGCAGGTGCCTGCCCACCAGAGTCTAGAACCTTCACCTCCAGAAAGGTGTGGTGCCACACGCTTTGTGATCTTCAGCCGGACACCTGTGGGCTGGGCTGCTCTGCCTCTGGCGGTTAGGGTGCCAACATGCTCTTCCCTACTATGCACACCGGATGTGAAGAGGCAGCAGGACCTGAGCTCCCCCATCTGGGAAATGGGCTGCAGTACATGGATGGGTCCATCTCCCTTGTCCTATCAGCCTGTGGAGAGAGTTCTGCCAGGAACCAGGCCCTCTGGAGATGTGGGGTCTTGATGGTACCACCATGTCTTTTCCCTTCTTCCCAGAGTTTCCTGGCACTGAGCACTGGCCCAGGCACTGCTGGTGTGTGATAGCATCCCAGATCATGGCTGTTAGCTGTGCCAGCCACCCTTCTGAGCCTGTGGGTGCTTCTTTCTGAATTCTGAGCTGGTTACTCTACAAGCATTTTAGGATGCAGGGACTCAACTGGGTGGGACTGTGCATTTGGGAGGTCGGGAGGGTCGGGCAAGTTTGAGGGTTTTGTTGCCATCCCTTTGTCAGGCCTCCCCTCTCCGGCAGCAGCTGTGTCTGGCGAGTGTTCTTTGTAGATACCTGTGGTACCAGAGGGGTTAGTGGGGTGGCCTTGAGACTGATCCAGGTTCCGCCTGACCCTGCTGGGTTGCTGAGAGTAGGCCCTTTGGAAGCCTTCGAGGGTGTGGCTGTGATGGTTCTTGCCCTATATTTAGTCCCAACATCACTTGCAGGAAGCGTAGTTAGAATGTCTATCAACCTGTGTCTTGGTGACCAGTCTCGGAGCTGTGCGTTTGTACTACCACTGTATTTGTGTACTTTAACAATTGTGTAAATAATAAATTCATAATGACTTCTACCTTTCTTCCCTCCCCTTTCTGTGGTCTTTCTTTCTACCTGAATTTCTAGTCAGTATCTTTAGCCATGTGAAAGCCAACTTGGGTGAAGTGTTCCGCAATGGTGTTCAGGGTTGGGTCTTCACAGGATGCTGAGCATGCCAGGATTGAGACAGCCTCCTCCTGTGACCCAGGCTAGCCTGGAAGCCTGGACAATACACCTGCCGGAGTCTTTTGAGCCCTGGAATTACAGACCCAGAAAACTAAGTCTTTCAGGGTGGTGTTCCTGTTGGTCCTTTCTCAGCCTGTGGATGTTCGGAAACTGGTTGGAGGAAGTATGACATTAATGAGTCCACTTGTGGAGGTGACAGTTCTGAGAGCCCCTTGCCACTTAACCTTAAGCACTTTTAAGACACAAGCCCTTAACATACATAGCCCTCTTGAGTTAGCATCTTAGGCTTTCACCTTGCCAAGGAGGTCCACTCTGAAGTGGGTGTCTGTCCCACCACTTTAACTCCCGGCATGCACTGGGTGATGTCATCTATGGTATACCTTGAATTGTGCACAGCAGCACACTCCTGAGAGCCAGGGACAGGCTGTCACGACTTCTGGAGGGAGCTAAGTCTGTACCTGCTGCTCTAGGACTAGGAGGCTTGTTTGTAGCCATCAATTGTCAGTAGGACTTAGGCCAAAACCCAAGGGAATAGTGCCCTGCATATCACAGGTGTGGCCTAAAGGGGAACTCCCATAAGCATGCCTGAGTTCTGCCCCTCTGACCCTACCCTCACTTACCTTGGACTCTTCCAAGCTCCTCTCCAGCCTTGGGCCTCTGAAGCTGTCTTCTGGGTTCCAAAGGGAACCCATTGTGCCCCTCTGTCCCCCCACTACACCAGCGCCAGCCCTGCCCACCTTAGCACCCTCCCCAGCCCAGAGCTCCCACCTGTTTGCTGTCAGGCAGAGCACAGGGGCCTCTAGGAGCATAGCACTTTAAGGCACCACCTCACCTCTGCTGGAAAGGTGACTGGTTGCTGGAGGTAAAGGGATCTGGGCTTGGTAGGCCATTGTACAGCACAGACCAGGTGATTCCACAGCTGTGTACTTGAGCAGCTGCCTTCCAGGAGCCCTGCCCTCAGAGACCCCCTCAGGTAGCACAGGACCAGTAGCCACCAGTCACCGGCTAGGTCATTCACATGCTCACTTCCATATGTTCTTTGCCAAGGGTAAGGGGCAGGGATTGGGGAGACAGTCCCAGCACAGTTGCCTTCCTGTTCACAGTGGGCTCTGGATGGAGGATGATGGGGTATCTATTACCCCTGGGCCTTTGCAGACCCATGTATAGGTATGTCTGGGTGGGCAGGCCTCTCTAGTATTGCTTAGGGTTGGGTCTTGACAGGATGTTGAACATGACCTTCCCTTGGTACTTGAAATCTGCCCTGTTCACATTTTGTCCCTTGATATGTCTCCAGCTGCCACCAGAGCATATGAAGGCCTTGTCTTCAGGCCCTCAGCTCATGCCTCACCTGCTGGGTCAGTCACCTTCAGGTGTCTGGCAGGCAGATGAGACAAGCCAGGCTAGACTCAGTGGCTGTACCCTGGGGTAGCACCTTCCCAGAAAGTGGTCTCAGCATCAGAGTGGTCTCTGATAACACTTGTGTGTGCTAAGCCTGACTTTCCTGCTTCCTGCCTCCTTCTGGATATGGATGTGGGACAGGACAAGTAGGAGGGAGCAGTACCTCCTGCTGCTCTTAGGCAGGGTGACACAGCTTAGGTGAGGAGGGCTGGCTTTGGGTGGGAGAAGCTGAGTCATTTCCAGGGTCTGATCAATGCAGACCGTTCTAGGAGCAGCCACACTCCTGTAACTCCCAGCCAGTGGTTCCACCAGCCTAACTGCTGTAGCCAGGCAGGGCCAGGAGCAAAGAAAGCAGGCCTGGGAGCCCTGAGCAAGGCTGGCTGGGATGGGGAGGGCAGTCTGTGTGCTCCACTGAGGCCCAGAACACCTGCGGCAGAATGCCACCTCCCCACCACCCGTCCCTTTCCCTCAGGTTTCTGGAGGCTGATGGCCACAGTTGGGAGCTCAGCCAGTCTTGAAAGCTGGGCTCCCTGACATTCCTCTTGCTCTGGAGAGGTTGGTAAATGAGAGACTCCTTGAATTCATTTGACCCTGGCAACTTGCAGCACTGCCCACCAACTGAGTTCCTAGCAGAGGGAACAGAAAGACCAGAAGGGAAAGCTGCCCCTGAACCACGAGATTGGGTCAGAGTCCTTGGTGTCTTCATGGAGCTAACTAAACAGGGCCAGGCCCAGCAGGGGGTGTGGGAGGCTGGACCCAGATGTGAGCTCTTGCCTCCTTTTCCTTGCAGAGGAGCAGGGACATGGCATCTCTCCGGTTGCACGCGGCCCGCCAGGGTGCCCGTTGCCGTCCCCAGCGTCCACGACGTACCACCTACTGAGGCGGCCCCAGCGGCCTCTGACCCGGCTTCCAGCCACGCAGGCCGCCACTGGCCACAGGGCAGGTGGGTGTGAGGTGCCCAGGGCAGTCCCAAGCACTGAGCATGGGCAGGACAGAGGAGGACTGGGAACAGAGATCAGCGAGTGCTGATCACATAGAGAAATTTGCCAGCTCTCCAGAGGGGTGAATAAACAGAAGGCAGGAAACTTATATTGAAAGCCCATATGGAGTGAACCGAGCTCGTGCTGTATCTCAGCTCAGACTCCTCACCCCTGGAGACTCTTCATGATCCCCTGGCGCCACCCTGGTGTCTCTCTAGCATGGAGCTCCCTCCCCTGCCAGTCGGTACCCCTCTCCCCTTTTCTCCATTCCCTGAACAACTTGTAGGCTCAGCAGGGAATGTTCCAGTGCAGACAGACTGGGAGAGCTGATGAGGACTTGAACTGTACAAAGCTCCTGGAGACAGGCCCTCTGTGGTTTTTCCCACGTACCCGTTTATTTCAACCCTCTCAGGTGGAAGGAGCTTTGTCCCCTAGACAGGCAGAGATGGGCATTGTAGGTGACTAGGGCCAGAGCAGGGAGCAGGACAATGGGGTCAGGCACCAGGGAAGATCCTGTGGGCAGCACCCACCTGCCAGCCTGTCTTAGCCCTGCCCTCTGATTAAAGTCATGTTGTCTCCTAAGTTTCTAGGTCCTTGGCCACAGTTGGGGGCATGGGCTGCTTGGGCCCAGCAGGCTGGGTCCCTGGTACAGGCAGCTGGTAACTGTGGGGCTTGCTTGGCTTCACCACAGATCCACTTTGGAATGACACGGTTCCCACCCCGCCACCTCCCCCCGCAAAATACTGACCCGCTGACCAGGCAGCCAAGAGCTGAGCCAATGGCCCCACCTCAGCTGGTCTTGTCTGTGAAATAAATATGAGCGTTGCCAGTCTCTGTGCCTCTTCCCTGCTGCCCGCCCGCCTGCCCGGCCAGGCTGCTCATGATGGTTTGCTCACACGCTGGTTTCCGGGGTGTGAACCACCTCCCCATTTCTCTCAGGCTCTGCCTTCAGGAAGTACTCCACCTCCCTCGAGTCCACCCTCACGTCCACAGGGGGCTTGTGGAGCTTCTCCTCTGAGGCCACCGCCTCAGGCTGTGACGCCTCGGGCCTTTTCCCAATGCAGAAGAAGTTACCCAGCAGCAGCACGAGGGAGGAGGTGAGCACCTCAGCCCCCGCCAGGATGAACACATACTTGTAGATGTGCGTCGCATCCAGCAGTTTACCTGCAAAGAAGGCCCAGGTCACTAGCAGCTACTTGTGGGCACCCCACCTCCACCCTGGGCCAGGGCTCCCCACCAAGCCTCTGTGGTGTCTGCCTGGTATCTATCTCCTAATGCTAAGGAAGCACCCCACACATGCAGTCACCCTGTCTGCCTTGAACTCCAAGCATAGCAGCATCCTCCCATCCCTCTCCAGCCTCCCCATAGGAGCAAAGGCTGAGTCTAAAAACAGAAGTGGCCTTGAGGTTTTGCAGAGTCAAGGGGCATGCCCTCCTATTCCTCAGTCATAGAGCCCTCCCAGAGCCCCTAGAAGTGCCTGTGGGGCTTGGCAAGGTCCTGTGCCTAGTGACAAGGACCCCCCACAAGACCGTTCTGGGAGAAAGAAAGAGCCAGGGGCTACAGGGAGGGATCATAAAGGACTGGAGTAGCTGAAGAGACCCAGGGCCCAGGATGCCATGTCTACCCACACCAGAACCTGGCCCAGCTGCCCTCTCTAGCCAAAACCTTTCTAGTATTTTCTCATCGGCCTTCAGAAGGAAAAAGCCAAAGTAACAAACCCTGGTTCCCCTCCCTTGAGAGCTGCCCCTGTGGTGTGCAGACTTGCGAGGAGGCTGGCAGGCCCTGTGGGTGCGGCTGTCAAGGGTGCACCTGTCTTGGCTCAGGGCCAGAGGGCTGACATCTGCTAACCTACAGCTTCTAAAGCAGGGTCTGATTGGGGCGGCGTGGGGCTGTGGAGGTGTGGGGCTTTTCTATCCCCAGTGAGGCCAAGCCAGGCCCTGCCCTGCCCTGCCCTGGTCTCCCCTGCCAGCAGCACTCACCACCCGATGGGGGTCCGATGAGCACAGCCACTGCCTCCAGCAGCAGCACAAGACCAATGGCACTGGAGAACTTCTGGGTGCCCACAATGGCCATGAGCACCTCAAACTGCAGAGCCCCCACCATGCCATACGAGATCCCAAAGAAGATGCAGAAGACCACCAGGCCGCCATAGTCGCTGGCTGTGGAGCCTGTCAGGTCAGTGAAGCCATTGAAGAACATGGCAAAGCTGAAGAGGTAGACAGAGTAGGGTCGCACCTTCTTGAGCCCCGTGATGAAGCCGGCCGTGGGCCGTGCAAAGATGTCAATGAAGCCCAGGATGGTGAGCAGGAACGCAGCCTTCGTATCAGGCACACCCAGGTCCTTAGCGTAGCTCACCACAAAAACAGGCGGCACAAACAGCCCCAACACCATGATGGAGGCAGCCACTGCATAAAGGAGGAAGCCACGATCCCGGAAGACGCTCAGATCTAGCAGGCGCCTCGATGACCGCTGGGGCCCAGATCCTCCGTCCTTCCGGGGGGCTGCCAGCGGCCGCATGAGTGCAGCACACACACAGCAGTTGAGCAGCAAGCCCCCCAAGATGAGGAAGCCACCCCGCCAGCCATAGTGGTCCTGCAGCAGCTGCCCTAGGGGAGACAGTGCACACAGGAACACGGGGCTGCCCGCCGCTGCCAGTCCGTTGGCCATAGGACGCCGCTTGTTGAAATATCGGTTGAGCATGATGAGAGAGGGCTGGAAGTTGAGAGCCAGACCCAAGCCTGTAAAGGAGGACAGTGTGAGACCCCCAAGACCCAGACCTCCAAGGAGGGCAGTGTGAGACCCCCAGACCCAGACCTCCAAGGAGGGCAGTGTGAGGCCCCAGACCCAGACCTCCAACGACAGTGTGATGACCCAGACCCAGACCTCCAACGACAGCGTGATGACCCAGACCCAGACCCCAAAGGACAGCATGAGATCCCAGGACCCAGACCCCAAAGGACAGCATGAGATCCCAGGACCCAGACCCCAAAGGACAGCATGAGATCCCAGGACCCAGACTCCAAAGGACAGCATGAGATCCCAGGACCCAGACTCCAAAGGACAGCATGAGATCCCAGGATCCAGACTCCAAAGGACAGCATGAGATCCCAGGACCCAGACCTCCAAGGACAGTGTGAGGCCCTGTGACCCAGACCTCCAAACAGGACAGCTTAAGACTCCTCTCCCCTAAGACAATTGTCCTTGCCCTGGCTTCTGTGGATGCAGGCTCCATCAGAAATGGTGATGTATGATGAGTGTCAAAATTCGGAGCCCTAGACACTGGCCATTCACCCCTAGTGGGGCTGTGCTCGCTGCTCCTCCAGGTTGTTGTGGATGGGAGGGAAGGATACAGCCAGGATGCCCCAATGTGCCCAACTGTCCTCAGAACTGATGAGCAGAAGTTCCACACTCACCCTTCCCGGCACACTGAGATCTGCAGATCTCACCCCACTCACCAGTGATGACTCCCGTGGTGAGGTAGATCTCGATGATGCTCCTGCAGAAGGATGCAGCCACCATACCCAGGGATGCGAAGAGGCCACCCACAAGCATGACAGGCCGACAGCCGAAGCGGTTCACACACACACTGCAGAGTGGGCCTGTGGGGAGGTGGTGGCTGAGGGCAGGGCCAGGCCTCCAGCTGGGCTGTCCTCTCCCCACCCATGAGAATATGTCAGGCCCTCAGTTCCTTGGGTGTGCTGAGTCCTGGAGGCCAGGTTCTCAGTGTGAGTGACTGGTGGACACTGCAGAGCCTAGCTCCCTATGTGGCCTAAGCAGGTCAGCAGGAAGCGGCCATCTTTGAAAGAACATCTTGTGGAGCCTGATTGCTGTTGACACAACCCACCTGCTCGGACAGGGGCCCGGACACACTTTGCCTTCAGAGAACCTGTGGCTTTTTGGCAGGATCCCCAGCCACCCCCAGGACTCTCCCCAGGCCCCTTAGCTCACTTGGGCTCCTGGGCCCCCCCTCACCTGTTCCGTATAGCATGGCCAGCAGGATGGAGGAGATCCAGGCCGTGTCGCTGTAGCCAATATCAAACTCATGCATGAGCTCCTTGAAGAAGACACTGACCGCTTTGGGGAAGGCGTAGGAGAAGCCAGTGATGACGAAACAACCAAAGAGGACGGCCCAGCCCCAGCCTCCATCGGGGGCCTTGATGCCCGTGGGACCCTCGTCCACCACAGCTCCTCCCATCGTCAGGAGGGCTGGTTCCGCCTTACCCTGAGCAAGAGGAAACAGTGCTGACTCAGGTTGCCAGGGTGACCATCTCAGCTGCAGCCCAGCAGGAGAGGGTGGGGACGGAGACAGGCAAGACACCTGGGGAGCCCCAGGATTGGCACCTGGCCGCTCTACAGCTCAGCCATGGGCAGCCTGCCAGTGCTGCCTCAGGGCCCCTCTCTCTGGCCACCTTTACCTAGTGAGCCGACTGGGCCTTTCGTCCAGCCTCCTGCTCCCACACAGCTGGCTGCAACACACAGTAGCCTTTTGGGGGGCGGGGGCCAACCAAGACTCACATTACTTCCTGAGGAGACCCAGGAAGTGGGCCTGGCTGTTTTCTGAAGCTGTGCTGGGCAGAAGCTGTGCCCTGCGGCACAATCTTGGCAGCGACCTGTACTTCCTGTCCCCTCCGGCCACACTCTTGAGTCTTCCCCTAAGTGTCCAGGGCGGGTGTCCAGCTCTAACTCTAAAAGAAGTGAGTCCTGCCCACTCTGGATCCTGCTTTCTGGCTGACTGGCTGGGCAGAGGTCTGCAGCAGGGGCACATGGAGGTACACAGGCTGTGGTACCTGAGTGCGGCTTATCACTAGCATCACTTCCCAATTCCCCTGAGCAGAGCCGGGTGGTTGTACCTCCGCCTGGAACCATCCATGACGGTGGCTTTTGGAAAGACAAGGGTGCTGATGGATTGCCGGAAGGTCTGAGGCGGGGGGGAAGGACTGACTGACCGTGGTAGGGGAGGACTGACTGACCGTGGTGGAGGAAGGACTGACTGACCGTGGTAGGGGAAGGACTGACTGACCGTGGTAGGGGAAGGACTGACCGTGGTGGAGGAAGGACTGACTGACCGTGGTAGGGGAAGGACTGACCGTGGTGGAGCAAGGACTGACTGACCATGGTGGGGGGAGGACTGACTGACCGTGG